AAATAGTATAGTCATCTTCAATATAATTTGATACATTACATAGTTTCCTAGTTTTAGATAGTGCTTTAATATCTGGACATACTGGAAATTGACTGAGAAGGTTCATGAATTCACCGAAGGATCATAAATACACCAGAGCCTCCACATAGAGCTAACTGAAGAGATCTGCTGAGAGGATGAGTGCCACATCAAATAAGAATTGAAATCGATAGGTGCAAGTCTGAGAAAATCGAAGAAGGAAGTTCTTCAATCAATATTCATTGCCATGTAAACTTCTGACAATATATTATACAGTGCGTCCATAAAGTAACGCATAAATTCATTATTGGCTAAATGAACAATAAAATTAGAAATTCCCGAAACAGGTCGATTGTTGATTTCAATTTACTATTGTTTCAAATCATAATCTAATATACAGGGTGAACCACTTTCGTGTAATGACGTCATCACCATTTTTTTCAAATGGAACCCCCCTTTTTTTCCAGTTTCAGAATTGCCCTTGCTGAGCTGATTCCAAAATTGTATAATATGTTGCTTCAAATTGGAACAGCGTGGGCAAGGATGCAAAAAAAAATATGAAAATTGTTTATGGAAAGTAATACGTTACTGAATGTAATAAACAAATCAAATGGAATTATGTAGTTATGCAATTGATGTGATACACTTCCAGAAACAAACAAACAGACAAAAATTCACAATGAATGTTCAAATTGTTCTCCATTGACCGTTAGACAATGACTGAACCGGGCATAACTTTCGTCTCTAACATTCTGCAGCATAGCGGGTGTTATGCTCTGTATTTCTTGTCTGATTCGGTCTTGTAGTTAAGGGATATTTCCTGGTCTGTTTAGGTAGACTTTAGATTCCAAATAACCCTATAAAAAGAAGTCTAATGGGCTCAGATCAGGTGATCTAGCAGGCCATTCCACTGGTCCCCTTCTTCCTATCCACCTTTGTGGAAAAGTTGTGTTTAAAAAATCGCGCACAGTTACTGCAAAATATGGCGGTGCGCCATCCTGTTGAAACCAGATTCTGCGGTCTAAATACCTCTTCATTCAGATTGCCGGGCGAGAGGTGCTAGAGGGGGTTCACCATCGCCTGAAAAAGTCCTCAAGATAGACCTATGTAACATCCGAGGTCTGAATGAGAACATCAACGATGTCCATCGACACCTTCAAATTGAAAAGCCAGACATATTGGCTCTTACTGAGACACAGGTCAATTCATCCACCAATACGACCTATCTGCTCTGTCCTGGGTTCGAAATCCACACAAGTTTCAGATTCAAGAGAGGTCTCTGCCTCTACTCTAAAACGAATCTCTCATATCAACGAAAAAAGACTTTGGAACCAAATAGGTGTGATGTTATTTGGTTCAAACTCGACAGCCAAAAACAGACCGAATACCTTTGTTGTCTCTACTCAACACCGAATGATCCATCCTATGAAGAGCTCTTCGAATTCTTGTCTCTTAAGCTTGACCAAATTCAACAGAACCATTCAGTAGTAGAAATCATCATCATGGGCGATTTCAATGTACACAACATTGCTTGGCTCGTACACTCTAATAGAACGGATGAAGCAGGGCGACAAGCCGAAGCTTTCGCCATCACTCACGGCTTAGAGCAGCTCATCAAAGAACCCACACGAATTCATGATGCCAATAACCATTTAGCTAACATACTTGACTTATTCACCACTAATAATTCAGCACCCTACACCATAGACGTACACGAGCTCCACTTGGCAATTCTGATCATACACTCATCTCCACAACCTGCCCATTCTTCATTCCATCAACTGCTCCGGCACTTCCACGTCTCATATGGCATTACAATTCAGGAGATTTGTACGGTCTCCGCATGTTCTTCTCCGAGTTTCCTTGGCATAGAGTATGCTTCGACTCTGAGGACCCTCCACAGTGTGCTGCGGAAATATCCGAGATCATCATGCTCGGAATGGACACATACATACCTCATTCTTCGAAAAGATCATCATCATCGGCACCCTGGTTCATCAAAAACTGTTTTAGAACTGTTGCCTTGAAATAAACAGCCTACCATCGCTGGCGCAAAAACCCTAATCTCGCGACTAGAGCAGAATACGTTGATGCCAGGAATAACTGCAGCCAAACAATAGATGCCTCGATACAATGCCAAGATAGGATCGAAACTCATAGATTGTCCCAATGGCTCCCGTTCGTTTTAGTCCCTTGCTAAAGCGGTCGGAAGAAATTCCACTGATAGTTCATTTCCACCACTGTCCAAATCCGACGGCCAATTAGCAACAATATCGCAGGAGAAAGCAAATATTTTTGCAGAGATGTTCGCAGCAGAACTCTTCTATAGATTTCCAAGGAAAAGTGAAGCCAGACATTCCACCGGTTGGGAGTCGAATGCCCGAAATCGTCTTTCGTCAACGCACTATCAGACGAATTTTGCTTGGTCTCAAAACGAATGAGGCTAACGATCCTGATGGAATTCCACCTATTATCCTCAAAAAATGTGCACCAGAATTAACACCGATTCTCTGCAAGTTGTTTACCGTCTCGTACAGGACGAGTATTTCTCCATTATGCTGGAAGACAGCTCGAGTCCAACCAATCCCCGAAGAAGGGAACAAGAACCTGCCCAACAACTACAGGCCCATTGCCCTGTTATCATTAATCTCCAAAGTGATGGAGAAAGCCATCAACATTGAGCTTATCAAATATCTGGAGAGCTCAGGAATCATCGATAATAGACAATACGGCTTTCGCCACCGAAGATCTACTGGAGATCTACTTGCCTACGTCACCCATTTATAGCAAGCTTCATTTGTAAAAAAACACAAGGAATCTCTAGCTGTCGCGTTGGACATATCGAAAGCATTTGACCGTGTTTGGCACGAAGGACTCCTCCACAAACTACCATCATACGGCTTACCACCTCAGCTATGTTATCTCTCATCGAGTTTTCTTTCACGCAGATCGCTTCATGTGGTGGGGGACGGTGTATCGTCTGATACCATTGGCATCAATTCTGGCGTCCCACAAGGATCAATTTTGGCACCAACATTATTCCTTCTTCAATCTGTTGGAGCCTGTATTTTCTCTAGGAAGCCGGAACTCATTATGACCGACATTGTAATGTCTGGCACCACCATCTCCACCAAGCCCACCATATCTATGCTCGGTATTTCTATCAGCAACACTCTTTCATGGGATAATCATGTCAGATCTATCGCAAAAGTTGTTTCACTAAAACTCGGATTCTTGTTTCGTGCGAAAAGCTACTTAACACCTCAACAGCTTCTCATGATCTACAAAGCGCAGATACGGCCTGTTCTAGAATACTGTTCCCACATATGGGGTTCAGCACTAAAACATACGCTGATGCTCTTAGATTTCATCCAGAGAAGAGCCATTCGCCTGGTGGGTGACGCCACACTCACTCACTTTTCGACATCATTGGAAGACCGTAGAAAGGTCAGCGACCTTTCACTTTTCTATCGATACTTCCACGGGAAATGTGCCTTGGAAATCTCTGCTATCATCCCTTTACTTGCAATACCAGTCAGACGAACTAGACAAGCCCAGTCAGCACATCCTTTCGTTGTCAACCTCGAAAGATGTCGAACAGCACTTTATCAAAACTCCTTCATCCATAGAACGGCTAGGCTCTGAAATTCATTTCCTGAGGAAGTATTCCCAACAACATAATATAATCTCCAGAAGTTCGAAAAAAAATCCAATACTCACCTCCTATCCCTATCCTTCCTAGGAACGCACGATGTTCTTTGAACATTATAGGGATTCCCTTTCGTGCGCTCCAAGCAATAAAAAAAATTACAATTTTAGGAAAAAAGTCATCCCTGATAAAAAAATCGGCATGGCCTCAAACCGAAAATGCAATCATCAAATTTTGATTTTTTTTTAGTCGTATACACGAGGTCTCTACGTCGGACAATATAGAATTTGCTCAAGAGTAAAATACCTCCATTCTCGACAATATCGAGAGTTGTTCCTAAAATAGGTTGTCAGGAATTGGGAACGACTTTCAAATATCTGAAAATAGGGTTTCATGATTTTTTTATTTTATGATCGATTTATATGAACAACTTCTTCATTTTTAACTTAAAAAAAAATGCATTCCTCATAAAGAGTTCTGCAAAATATGGAACCAAGAATGCGGATATCAGTTATCAAATTATTTCAGTCCGAGGTGGATATGTGAAAAAATATGAATTTCGCTCATTGAACCACCTGATTTTCATGGTAAATAAATATCATCAGATATTTGAACGTAGTTTCCAACTTTGGTCAACTTCTCCCAAGTACAATTTTCGATATTGTCGAAAATAATGGTAGTTCACTCTTGGGCAAGATAATCATTTTTTATCATCTGTTGATATCTGATATTCGCATTTTCGTAAGTCAACGTTTTCAAAGAGTTAGTGAGTAGGTTAGTGAGTATTTATTCAGGTGAAATGAATTGAACGAATTGTTTGACTAGTTCTAATAATCAAGCTATAGCCTCAATTTTTTTTCTCATAGAACTGAAGATCATAATCAAACGAACTGACACACAATCATTGCTGATTATTCAAATCATAAAACTATTATGAAGCATAATTTGTATTTTGTAACATTATTCAGAATTTCGATATTGTCATCGTGTTGTAATACATAGGTTCCACATGTAGGATGACATGACAGATTTTTGAATACGATTAATTTATCTTCATGTATTTTCTTCAAATGAAATGACCTTCCAAATAGTATCTTCATTCCAATTCTATTTGTGGAATGAAAAATTATTTATGATTTCTTCATGCCGACATAACGACTATACATAAAATCATACGTTTATTCTCCTAAATTCACTTGAATTATTGTTTTCATCATACAGATTCACTTATTCTTTTTCCCATCCTCTTCCTCAATGAATATCTGTCGCAGATGAAGATGTTAGTAAACATTGGATTTTTGGTTGACCTGCCGTTGGGTTCTCATTGTGGGGACAGTTTGAAAGTAAGTATATAAGTGAGTCACAGGTGCCAGTATCATTTTGTCAGTTGCAAAACAAGATGGTTACGAAAACGGTGAGTGTCTCAATTTACTCGAATCAAATATAGGCACTTATCGATTGCTAAATTTTTTTTTGGTCAGTCAGGACCTTAGATTTTTAATATGTTGTGTTGTTTTTGTATAGTTCCAATCGTGTAATCCCTATATTGATGATTATTCCGATGTTTCGGCTGTCGTTCTCATTGGTATATTGCGTGTTTGATAATAATTATAAATGAGGATGCGTTTCAACACGAAGAAGATAAAGTGAATTTTAAATTGTGCAGGCTTGTGATTTCTCGCGTAACCTACATTTTCCAATTGATATTTATCACGTTTCAGTAAAGGTCAGATATCATTTTGGAACATTTTAATAATTAGGCACCAGACAAACTGCCTCAGGCTGAGTTGGTTGACTACAGTATTGGATATCATCACATTGCTGGTTATCCTCATTAAGTCAGACAATTTTGAGCTAACTTTCCTTGAATTTTCTCTGTTGGTTGATTGAGATATTATGATCTCTTGGATTTCTAAGCATTTTCTTTCCTCGTTTCTATTAATAAAAATATACTCGAGTATCACATATCACAATATAAAGTGTAGTGAAATAGAATCCGATTTTCACTATAAGAGGGCCCAGAAGAGAAATGCAATCAAGAGTTGCTAATACTTTGTTTTCGAGATTTTCTCTCAGCTTCGGACTCTCTAGGAAAAAATCTCATTTTCGAAGTGAGAATGAAACATATCGTTATTGGAAAATTGTCTTCGAACTTTTGTGTTGACACTTCTCAGTGACAAGAATTGACGTGAACAAAATTTGAATGAGAAATTGATGAATGTCTTATATGAAGGGTATCACGAAAACCTGTGAGTTGTTTCGGGAATTTATTTTCGAAGCAGTGGGTAACTGAGTGGAGATATCAAAGTGAATTATTTATTATGAATGAATATCGTTTTGAAGATGATTTTGTCAAACGACTACGAAACAATCATCAGAAAAAATCTGTTAGAAATAGAACCAATCTATTCTTTCCATCCCTGATCATGGAACAAAATTTTCTTCTTGAATAGTCATCAGATACTTCAAAATTGGAAATAAGTCAAGACGATTTGATAGGTTTCAGGTAAATATTGTCTTGAAGCATTTTATCTGCGAGAATAAATATTTCAAGTAATCCTTACAATGACGAGGAGTGCACCTATAAGAATATCTCAATCATTTTTTAGAAATCATGATATCGATATATTATAGTGTGTTGAATTTACAATATCAATCCTTCAATGATAAAAAATTGAGTCAAACATTGTTTTCACAAATGAAACATTTGATTCAGATGAAAAGGTACATTGTGTTTTCCAAACTGATTTCAAACGCAAGCAAGATTATTTCCCATTCCATGGTTCAAAGTTTCTGAATTTGTCCAAATCGAATTGATCCTGATTTCAATTTATTGAGAAGCTATCACAATATCTCAGGAATACTAAACAAAAAATAGTTCTGAAACTTCGAAACGATGATATGTTGGGTATGACAATGAGGAAAAACTCCTACTTCGTCAACATGTTACTTCACTTTGAGATATTATGGACTGCCACTACAGATGAATCAAAATTAATGTTCAATCTGAATAGGAGAATAACAGCAATAATCTTCTCAGTCCTTCCTAGGATGATGGTGATAGCTCTATAGAGATCCATTTCACTAGGATATGTAATCAGCATTGACCTTGTCCATTATCGTTCTGAGAATTCGATCGATCTTAATTATACAAGTCATGTTTGGTACTCGAGCCGCTACGATTCGAATGTTTCACCTTGATCTCGGGGATTTCTCTAATAATATTCACAGGATATCCTGAAACAATGATGAATCTGAACTTTCTGAATCATCATTCGATAATTTTTTAACACCATTACAGCACCATTCTTTGTGCCTCATCAATTTGCGGAGCAAATATTTTAGTTTATTTCTTATCATTTTGAATTCGATGTTATATGGCCATGAAATGACAAAACATACGAAATTATTAGAATAACCCATATTTCTCGAGTAGCATGTTGACCTTTGAGAAATCTTTATGATGGTCTAGGAGTTTCAATAGCTGAAAGAGTTTGAGTAGGCTTCAATTTGCATAAAATAAAATGATGTCATGTTCTCATGATATAGGTAAAACAAGTAGAATTCGACAATATCATTGATGAATTTTGGAATGTGGATATAATTATATTATTCTCAATGCTGAACCTCTCCATAAATTGTCCTCATTTCCATTTCAATATTTAATATAGAAACAATAAAATAGTATATATGGGTTCAGAGTGATTGAGAGTTTTGGAATCAGAAAGAAATGGAACATGAGGCTAGTGGAACATAATACATAAACAGGGGGTCCCGGAAAAAGTATTTCAATTTCGAATCATTCATCTGATCTTTGTTTCGTTTCCGTTTCGAATGATAATACTGGTGGTGTTCACATGATGAGATGATTCTAATGGATTCAATAATTGGAGATCAGATATTCCATTCGGATTTGACAACTATTCAAGACCGTTTATAGAACCAATCTTGTGACCATTGCAAATCTATTTCATTTATTTATTCATTTATTCATTTATTTATCTCAGCAACTGACATGTAGAAAATACAGGAAAATTGTGATTATTGTCAACAGGTGAAAATGTACAGGCAATATAACATATCCTATCAATACTCTTTAGATTTAAACATTCTGATGTACAGGACATAATCACATAAATATACACTTTCTTACAAATATAAATACACATTAATAACACGTTAATAAGCACATACATGAGAAGCATGTTGACTATACCTATCACATTCATTATCATAAAGTTCCCTAGTTAAAAAATTCTTCTATGGTGTAGCAGTTTTTGAGGAGTAAGTCAGAAACTTACTCATTCATATATGTCCATCATGAAATCCGATAATTTCAAATAACTGGATCGAAATTGGTATTGATTATTGTGACTATATACAGGGTATTTCATAACTGATCGAAAATGTGTACCATACGATCCTGACCTCAAAATATAAAGTTTCAACCTGGATCCCCTAGATGAGATGTATCTGTCCGCTAAGTAAGTCACAGGTTGTTCCATTTGGAAATTCGAAAAGTATTTGTGCGTATTACTTTGGAACTAACTGACGTATCGATGTCAGATTCAGCAGGAAGTGTAGAAACCAATCAACCCACTGGATTATTTCAAACAACCGTTTTTATCTACTATCAGATGCGTACGACAGGGGCAAGCAACTGGTTGATACTCCCCGAATTATACGCTACTAGCAGGATTGCCATTTCATCAAATTATTTCATTATTCTATACTTCAGACGTAGATATCGCACCTCTTCTTCATAGCAATCAGGTCATGATTTTTTGAAATATTGTGGGTTAAATATGAAGCTGCACAATGATTTCAGTCCTGATGTGTAATTAGGTCAATGTATTCGATCATTAGATTGTATTCCTTACACAGATGGAACTTGAATCCATATTCAAAAGAAACATGATGACATTATTATAGTCAAATCTCATTTGATCATGATAAATAATAAAACACCCTGTTATCGACAGGAACCATTCAATCTAGGTGATTTGAGTTGATGTCCATATCCTGATCTCAGGACATTATAGCTCAACTATTTCTTATTAGTGATGAAACACTCTATTTATCATTTAACAATGTCTTGATCGTCTACAGTTCTCAACACACTAAATGGACCACTCATAATTTGACCTAATTTCGAAGACCTGTATTTTTTGAAAAAATTGACCGATCTTCATGCTGGTGGTGGTCACTTTCAGCATTTCTGTGAATGTTTTGTGTGATGAGAAATATTGAGTTATTTCTGATCAGATTGTTCGCAAATATCATTGGAAGATTGAAAAATAATTTGTGTTATGACTGGGCAAGTAATAAAATAGTTTCCATTTTTTATCCAGGAAACGAAGCAATATATGGGGAGAATCCAGAAGACAAAATAGTTGTCGTTTCAGTCAAGTCATCTCAAGGATTCATTGAGATTGAATTGAAGTCAGTGGCATACATTTTTATCAATGAATTTCTTGAAATTTCCTTTCTCAAAACGCCTTTTTTTATCGATTTTTATTTAGTTAGGGCCAGATCAGCCCCCCATCATTTGGAACAACGCTACCAAATTTCAAATGAGTCCGTGAGTAGATATCTCAATCAATTTGAGAATACAAAACTTTTACACAATGTATCTTAAAAACGATGCATTTCCAGATATTCATTCATACGAATTTTTCTTCATAAATTGATCTCAGGAATCACCTCCTCGAATATTGCTGCGTCTCTTTTCAACACTCTATAACAAATAGTGGGAAAAATCACCTTGATTTTCCTGTTCTTTTTCGATATAAGTATAATATGTACTTTATTAGAAGGTTTGTACAGGGCCGGTTTCATTAATGTGAACCCCCCTTTATCTTTCTCGTTTCACACTCTTAAAAAAAAAATCAAAGCTGAATTATACAAATTTTCAACAGTAATTACACAAGTGGTGGTAATTTTTTGATAATTTTAACTAGATGCACGAATCTTTGTTGCTATAGAAATTTCACGAGTGGACGAAGTCCACGAGTGGGATTTCTCAATAGCAACAAAGACGAGTGCTAAATCTAGTTAAAATTATTTAAAAAAATAACCAACACGAATGTAATTCGGCGTGATTATTTTTTTTACTATTTCGCAAAATGCCCCAGAATATGTTTATTAAACAATTATTTATTGAACAATCATTTATCATACAATTATATATCAAACAATTATATATCAAACAATTATATATCAAACAATTATATATCAAATAATTATATATCAAACAATCAAGAATGTTTACAATTTACGTTTGTAATGGTGCAATTATTGTATGTTATTGTACAATTTCCTTGAGATGAAGAGGTCGAAACAGTGTTTCCTCTCAAGTTGTTTATCATGCTTGCGTGATGCTCTTTGTCAAGTTGAAGATAGGGTTTGATGGAG